TAATCGAAAAGATGCATTCAAGTAATTTGCGTCTTGAGGAGCCAATTCGGATGGCTTCAATTCTCGAGCCTTCTAAGCTGGTAACCAAATGCCTCTTTCTTCCACACAAATTTCGAATTTAGCCCGATCTCTGTGAAAATCACTGTTCCTACACTCAAATTCTGATTCATTTCTATGTTTCCTTTGCTTTGATTCTGGTGTTCGGAGATTGTGGTGCTTTGTTTCTTTTGTTTTTATCTTGTGTGTATGTGTGTTGATTTTATGGATCTTTGATTTTGGTTTGACTGTGTTGTGCAGACTTTCTTTCCTGCAATGACAAAGATTGTTGGGACACTAGGTCCAAAATCGCGATCAGTTGAGATAATTTCCGGTTGCCTTAAGGCTGGAATGTCTGGTATTGCTTTTCCCTTATGCTTGATTTATGCTACCCACAATTCGTTTTGGTTTAATCATCATCAAGCAAATAGATCACAGACATAATTTATGGTTTAATCATCACCAAGCAAATAGATCATGGCCATATAATTGAGTCCCCTGTTTTGCAGTCCAGACTGCACCAACTGCAAAATAAGTGCCATTGGATGGGGGGAGCATTCTCAATATTAAGTAGCCCACCCCTCATCCAATGGTTAGTGTTGTGCAATTCGGACATCAGAGTGCATAACACTTTTTCTTAATTCATATACAAAAAAAGGTGTTGTGCAGTCCGGACTGCACAACTTAAACCATTGGATCCATGCCCCCATCCAATGGTTCCTGTTCTTGCAGGCTGGACTGCAAAACTGCAGAACAGGGGGTTCATTTATGTATATAGTTATGCATTTACGTGAAACAATGCACTTTGTTTTATGTCTACTTCAATATTGACTTGGCTGGAAATAGAGGGTACAACTTCCTCAGGAGTACAAGTTCGTATGCTTTGGAGGTGATCGTGCTTTTTATTATTTTGGTTAGTGGCAAGGTTTGATTTTTCATGGGGTGACACTAAATTTCACCAAGAGACGTTGGACAATCTCAAGATAGCTGTTAAGAGTGTGAAGAAACTTTGTGCGGTAAGCTTGTTTAATATAAAGTGTTACACCATTTTAGTCTTTACCTAACATGTTGAAACAACGTTGATCTAAGTTAGTTAATAAGACAATCGTTTTGTTTCTATTTTCAAAATATTAGCTTCACGAGGTTGGATTTGTTGTTTCAGGTTATGCTGGACACAGTGGGCCCAGAGTTGCATGTAGTTAATAAATCAGAGCATCCCATTTCCCTTGAGGCTGACACAATGGTTGTGCTTACCCCTGATCAAGATAAAGAAGCCAGTTCAAATTTATTACCAATCTATTTTCATGGTCTGTCAAAGGTGGGGAAACTTCTTCTGTTGTTGGTTATACCCCTTATCAAGAAAGTTCTGTTAGCTAATTTCCCATCTATAGATACTTAAGGCCTCCCTGTCATAGACATCTTATTTTATTCCGTACCTTCTCTCTCACAAAACGTATCACCAAAAGATGTATGTGGTTTAGTAATTATATCTATTTTGATTCACCTTTCCATTCTAGCTATGTTTTTGTTGACACTGTTATCATGTAATTTGGTTTTTGTAGGCAGTCAAGAAAGGAGACAATATTTTTATTGGTCAATATCTGTTTTCAGGAAATGAAACTACTTCTGTGTGGTTAGAGGTAAGGGTTTCTGCAATTAAGTCTATGTCAGTATAGCATTTGCTGTGTGAACCTAATATTAAATTTCCAATCTTTTTTTGATTTGGAGCCGGAAATTAGTCCTTTCACTCTTCCAGAAAGCTAGAGGAAGACAGAATGGAAAATATGTTACCTAAGGGATGGGAAGGGGAATAGAGTACAGAAATGAAGGACTATTAGTGTTAAGCTTTGAACTAGTTATTACTAGCATGTTTTCTATTTAGTTTCAGCATGCTGGTTGCTAAGGTGCTGTTCCTTGTGTCTCATCATGCAGGTTGATGAGGTGAAGGGTGAAGACGTAGTTTGTATGATCAAGAATTCTGCTACTTTGTCTGGGCAGTTGTATACTTTGCATGTCTCTCAAATCCATATTGACCTGCCTACACTCACTGATAAAGATAAGGCGGTCAGTTTCTTGAATGCTCGTTAGAACAGTAGAATACTTCTCATGATATTAACATTTTGAAATGCTAATACTTTCTATCTCAAATCTTGGGCTAGGAGAACTATACATGAATGCTTGGAAGTCTCTTTTGTTGAATGTCATCTCATACTCCCATCTATGGCTGAATAGCTTATTTATTTATTTATTCATTTTGCTAAAGTAGAATAGCTTACTTAGTTGGTGCACTTTCTCTTCAAAGAGAAGATTGCCATCCCATCTAGTAGTGACCAAAAGTTTGTCTCTTATTATGATTCACATATGTTAGTAGCCACCTTGACTTTTGTCAGATGAGGGATGGTATTCTAGGTCTGCAAGGCTTGTTTTGAGCCAACTATTTGCAAAAGATTTTAGTGGCATGTATATTCTTTGTATTTTCCTTAATATATATTTTTTTGAAAGTTCTTTCATCATGTTTTATTGATCAGGTGATAAGCACATGGGGTGTTCAAAATACAATAGACATTCTTGCTTTGTCATATACCCGTCATGCGGAAGATATACGTCATGTAAGGATTTTCCTGTACAAAATTTTTATTATTTAACTGTGTCAACTTCTCCTTTAAGGCTTGTTTTCCATTAGATCATTTTTCAATTGTTGTTTGGCTTACAGTTTTAATTTCAATATTATTTTCCTTGATAAATTGAACATCATCTACATGCAGGCCCGTGATTATCTTTCTGAATTGGGTGGGCTTGATCAAACTCAAATTTTTGCAAAAATTGAAAATACTGAGGTAAGCTGCATTGATGCCCTTTGGTTTATTCTTGTTTCTCAATGTGATTTTGATTATTGCCATGTCTTTTTCCTTCAGGGGATAAAACATTTTGATGAGATCTTACAAGAAGCAGATGGTGTCATCATTTCTCGTGGAACTTTGGGGATAGATCTACCATCAGAAAAGGTTGTCTTTTGTATCTGATTGAAGTGTATATTATTGCGGCATTTATCATAAGATGAAAAATGACATGGATCTACTTGCAAAATATAATACACTGGATGCATTAGATACCTGTAGCCAAGCTGGTACAGTGGTACTTTTTGGTGATGGGACATTTCTTTTTTTTTTCGAACAGCGGTGATGGGCCATTGTGTTACACACTGTTTGTGCCATGTCAACATAATATTGCTCTGAAATTGTGTGCAAGAATACTTATATATAACTTTATTTGGTTAACAAGTTTCAGCTACTAATTCGGTGCCTTCACTCATTTCCTTTTAGTTCATGAGAATCTGTGCGCACATGCAATGCAACTCAACTAGTTTCTTCTGTTGTTCTTCCATTTTGGATTTTACAGGTATTTTTGTTTCAAAAGGCTGCAATTTATAAGTGCAATGTGGCTGGAAAACCTGCAGTGGTTACTCGTGTTGTGGACAGTATGACAGACAACCTGAGACCTACTCGTGCTGAAGCAACTGATGTTGCAAATGCAGTGCTGGATGGTAAACTCTACCCTTTTGGAAATGGATTCTGTTGCTCTTTCCTGATTTTAGTTGGAAATGATCAATGTTTTCTATTTCCTTGAGCCTTGTTTACTGCTAATATTGCAGGCAAGTACATTAGGCATTGGTTTGAAATCTTATTTTCCTATGTACTTTTGTTTGTTCAGGGTGTGATGCAATTCTTCTAGGTGCAGAGACACTCCGTGGATTTTACCCAGTCGAGAGTATTTCTACTGTTGGAAGAATTTGTTCTGAAGTAAGCTTATCCTTTGTTCCAAATTTTCTCTTACAAGATTGAATCACTTTTTGTTGCTGCCTTTACTAAGCTGAACACACACACTTGGACTAAACTAGGATGGTTCAAAATTTAAGTGCTGAAGTTATTTATTCATCTTTTAGAGAAAAGAATGGAAAAGGACTCATGCTCTGCAACTGTTAGGTTCATTAGATAAATACTAAGGTTAAGAATACTAAGGCAGTATTTAATTTCCCAGTTTCTCCATGGGCATTCTTTTGTTGGTATATTATTCTGCCATGTCAGCATGGTTATTCAGTCAATTTGTTTTTTTGCAGGCAGAGAAGGTATTTAATCAAGATCTATATTACAAGAAAACTAGCAAACATATTGGCGAACAAATTTCTCACCTGGAATCTATTGCTTCCTCGGCGGTATTCCTCTTTTGATTGTTCTTCCTTTAGGTTTCCCTTTTTCTTTCCTTCTCTAATCTACCAACTTGACTTTAAACTGCTCTAATGAAGTGTTGCCTTGATCAAAGTTTGTTTGAAAAGTCTAGTTCTGTAGTTTTAATGGGACAATATTACTATAATCCAATTTTATGTACTGCAAGGTACGTGCAGCCATCATGGTTAAAGCCTCTGTCATTATTTGCTTCACTTCATCGGGAAGAGCTGCCAGGTTGGTTCATTTCCTTGTATCTGTTTTGCTTGTGTTTCTTTTCACTTAGATGCAAACGCTTGTCAGGTGGATATTTTGAAAATGGTTAAATGCCAATTTTAGTCCCTCAACTTTGAGGTTTTGCATAATTTTTGTCCCTCAACTTTTTTATGCACTTTTTTGGTTCTTTAACTATGAAAAATGCACTTTTTTAATCCTTTTGTAAGTTAGTCCATTAAGTTTGTCTAACTATACATATTTTTAGTCCCTCAACTTCTAATATATGCACATTTTTTATCCTTCAACTTTAAGTTAAGGGACTAAAAATGTGCATATTTAGATAAACTTAATGAACTAATTACAAAATGACTAAAAAAGTGCATTTTTCATAGTTAAAGGACCAAAAAAGTGCACAAGGGACAAAAATTATGCAAAACCTTAAAGTTGAGGACCCAAAATTGGCATTTAACCTTTGAAAATTGACTATTTTTTTCTGACTGAATTTATCTCCCAAATTCAAGTTGGGAATCAATGATCCACTTTATTGTTGAATTTTTTCTGAACTTTGTTGTGTAGCATAATTGATTCATGTTTTAATACGTTAAGAATATTGTATTAATGCAGGTTGATTGCTAAGTACAGGCCAACTATGCCCGTTCTATCTGTTGTCATCCCTCGGCTTAAGACAAATCAATTACGATGGACCTTTACTGGTGCTTTTGAGGTGCATTATTTACTGAGATTTTTTTCTTGTTTTTGGCTAACACACACACACACACACACACACATTTATATGACCAACTGGAAAACATCTCAGGTTGATCTTACTTGCACACTCGCACACAGAAAGCATGCATGTATATATACGTGTGGTGAGATTATGTGATTACTTCTTTGGAACAAAATCAATTTATTTGTTTATGGATGTTGTGTCATGTCATTTTCCGGTCTTAATTTTTTGGCTATCCATCACTGTTTCCAGTTGGAATAATAATGTGCTTGACTTTGATGGGAGAGTAGAAGGAAGATGGAAAGGATAGGTCATTATCATGAGTAACTAGTTGAATACTGCTGAAAGCCTATGCAGTGTGTTATAAGCACTCCACTTTCTTCTTTCTTCTTTCCTGCTTGGTACTAATGTTGATGACTAGAATTGATGCTGGGGCAATCTAGGGAACAGTTCCTTCCAGCCAGTCAAAGACCTTTTGAAACCTTTTTCAACTTCTTTTTCTACTTTGCTGAGTATTTCTCTCTTATCATTCACTCTATTAACTATTATGTATTTCAGTATTCAGTTGAGGATAAGAATCATCAATACGCTTTCCTTTTTTGAATGTTGTGGCAGGCAAGGCAATCCCTCATTGTAAAGGGAATTTTCCCCATACTTGCAGATCCTCGACATCCTGTAAGATTCTTCTACATGCTCATATAGGTTTTCTGCCCTCTTAGATGACAGATAGTGTTGGTTTTGTAACCCTAAGATATATGATAAAGCTATCATGAGAGATTATCATATCCAATGCCAGGTTTACTTAAAAGTAAATTGATCCTCATTGTTGCTTGCATCTGATTCTTCTGCTGCCTTCTAGAAGACATCGGAGCTGCCAAGCCGTTTCTTCTCATGATATTTGCTTATCATGTTCATGCTTTGACACTGAAATTTACATGGTTTTGCAGGCCGAGGGGAAAAATGTCACAGACGAATCAGTTTTAAAGGCAGCTCTGGATCATGGCAAAGCCTTTGGCATTATAAACCCACATGACCGTGTAGTGGTTTTCCAGAAAGTTGGCGATTCATCAGTGGTGAAGATCATTGAGCTTGAAAACTAAGTACATCTAATTTTGAAAATGGTTTGGCTTTGACATTGAGATGCTGCAGATTTGCTATTTACCAAGTTTCTTGCTTCTTACAAAAAGAAGAGATAGCCATGAGTTTATGCTGAATCTCCTTTTATAAATTTTTGTATGAAACAGCTCTATCTTCATATTTTCATGCCGTCATGACATGATTAAAGAAGCCAAACACTTTTATGGCAGTTTCTTTCACATGCTAGCGTAATATTGTTAGTATTTTATATATTTATATATGGATAAATATGTATTAATTCTGATTTTAAAAATAAATTAGAGTTTTTGACATTAAATTATATTTTTTTATTTAATTAAAATTTAATTTAAAATTTAAAAATTTATTTTATTAATTGTTGATATTTAGATTTAAAAATTAATTATATTAATCCTAAGAGTTCAAAATATAAGTTGCTTGATTTTTTTACAAGTAATTTTATGTAATTTTTAATAGCAAATGTTTTGATAGTAAATGTAATTTTATGTAATGCTTTTTTTTCTAATATTTAGTAATTTGGCTTCTTCTTCTTCTTCTTTTTCTTTTTTAGTGTTTTGATAGTTAAAATGTCTAAATAAACTTACTCGTATTTCAAAATTAATCCTAAGAGATATTCCTTTTGTTTCAAAATATAAGTTTTTTAATTTTTTTATAAGTAATTTTATGTAATATTTTTTTATAAGTAAATAAATGATAATTGGGATTTTTTTTTCATATCTATAATTTTAATTTTTATTAAGTAATTTCATTTAATAAAAAAAAATTCAATTATCATTTATATACTATAAAAAATATCTTTTTAAAAATACAGTAAAAAAAAAAACTAAAAATCTTATATTTTGAAACAGTGAGAGTATCCGTAATAAGGTCGTTTCCGAGCCAAGCTTATCCTTTTCAGATTTATAATTTGGAGGTAGGAAAAAGTCAATATAACGGTACATCTAACAACATTGTTCAATTTCCCTCACTTTGCATCAATAGCGCCCATGGCCTAATGGATAAGGCGCCTGACTTCTAATCAGGCGATTGTGGGTTCGAGTCCCACTGGGCGTGTTTTTGTTGTTCTTTTTTTCCCCATTATCCATTTCCTCTCGACCAGGAGTTATTTGCAAATAAAATAAGATAAAAATGTTTGATACAGTCAAAAGAAAGTAAAGAGAAGTAGCAGACAGACATCTAACTTCAATTTCCCGAATCATAGTCTACAAGACTTCAGAAATAAACATTAGATAGATGCCATTCTTGCACCATCATATTAGTTCACATCTTTATTCCATTTCATCATCATATCAAAGTGCCTCGGAGAAACGTAAATCTTCAGGACCAGGACCCAAAATTCCGTTCTGGTCCACTTCTATTGCCTGGTCCGAGGGGAGGTAGAGGTGCTGTTGGATCTGTAATTCTGTTTCCATCATCTCTCCAACCCGTACTTTGCCACTCTCTCTGCCACATTAATGAAGAAAAAAAAATGGAGGGGGGAAAACTCAATAGTAATAAATCTCAAAAGTTAATGATTAGTGACAAAACACACAAGAGGATCATAACTTCTGATAAGATTGCAAGGAATTCTCGCATCCAACTATGAGAGTGATAATTACAGCCTTTTCAAATATAAAACACCATGTTGGCCTGATTAAACCAGAAATACATGCCTCATCGTGACTGTATTGTAACAGTGGGGTGGTGAGATGTGGGACTGCATCAGGATCAGGTTTTTGAATTATAAGTTTGGAATAAAGACCAGCAGAAGCAAATGGATTAATTGAATTAAATGAATGAGAAACTAGGTATAAAATGCAGAACCAACCACAATGGTCAGATGCTAAGAAATGTAACAGATGAACTACCTAGCACATGGTATGACCAGCGTTCACGATCATGCCTGAAAATTGTGTTCTTGAGCAACAGAAAAATCAAGAAAATGAAGAATCATTCACAATAAATGTGGAACAAAGAGTTTCTTTTTTAATTAAAAGCCAATGCTAGACTCTAAAATGTTTTAGCAGGAAAATGATAAAAATCAAACAGAAGCTTGATGTCCCTGTCATCATCATAAAATTCAGTTAAGTTTTGAATCCCCACATACTCAAGATCAGCTTCTCTGGCTAACCTATGCAGCATATCTAAGACTCTTATATCACTTGAATGTTGAAAATCAACATGCATCACATGAAATATTGAAGTACATATATGTTCTCCCAACATCTTGGTTGGTATAGTAAATTACATGAATCATGATGATACACTTGCAATCTTCCACTTGTTATTACTTATTAGCATAGATTTCCTGCCTCAAAATATACCCTGTTCTCATCATCAGCATGACAGTCGGTAGCATTGGAAGGGGGTAAATATCTAGATCATGGTAAAAGTAAAGCCTACAATGGTCATGCAAGCTTCAAAATTTAATGAACAAACACTAATGACGTCAAAATGTAGTGGGTATAAGTGAAAGAGTAAATGTTAATACAACAGTGTTACCCCCTTCCATCGCATTAGCCCTTTAATAGAATTTATTGCCCTGCTCTCAAATCCAGTGGGTCAGAGAGAGAGAGAGATCATGTAGAAAACTAGAACTCCAGAAACACCTAGTCCAGGAGTGATTAAGAGAAAAAAAAATTCAAAATCTATTCCAGAAAACAATTAGATGATAGTTATTTCATACCAGACTGTAGATGAGTCCAGAGTAATGCCAAAAAATTAACCCCCTGCTTTTAACGAAGATGCTTCATTATTTAGAAGTTACCTTGCTTTCTGCTTGGTTTCAAAACATAGCTGCAAGCAGAATTATATAAATATTTCTCAGAATCATCACTTCCCCCCTTTCTTCTTTCTTTTTATCTCATCACCAAATATAAGTGCAAAAGATAAACTCAACACGAAGATTTAATAGCTACAAATGGTGCAGGCAACAAAGAAGATCAGCTTGAGCAGCCTTGTCCTGCAAATGGATTTCCAAATTATCCTGTTAAGGCAAAACAGTGGATTAATTGGAGTGGGGAGGAGTCATAAAGTTTCCAACTTTCAGCAATTCAGGAGCCAGGTATAACAGTCTCATATACTGCAGTATCTCATAAAGTTCGTAAATGCTTCATCTATGGTAAATAACAAAACTAAGAGAGATTTTCGTGCTATTCAGAGACAAAGTATGAGTAACATCTTAAAGGGAATTCATAGAATCATTCCAAGATAAAAATAAAAAATAAAAAACAAAAAATAAAAACCCATAAAACACAATCTACTTTTAAGCAGCAAAAAACTATAACTTGAGGAGCATTAACAAAATCAACCAAATGCAAGCCTACCACAAATCAAACTACAGACATGCAAAGAGCAAACGCAGAAACATCAACTGGGCTGCGTTTGCTATAAAAGAGGCTCACATTACAGGGGTTGGTCTCAAAAGATCTCAGCAGTGAAATTCTTCCTCTGACTCTATCCACTTAATCCAGAGGACGATACATCTGCCATTCACACACATCTCCCTCATCCCCATACATACATAGCACAGACCCATAAACAAGAACACTGAATCCTTCTTGTAAATCACATACCAACTCCAATATAATGACTAATTTAAACTCCGTCCCACTTCTCTGCATCAGGTCCTCCTCCACAGCACAAGTGACACACGCCTTCGAATAACCAAAACCCAGTCAGATATTGTCAAAAAAAAGAGACATCGTGGGTAGATGAAGATCTTGATGAGAGCGGTTTTGGCGAACTGGTAGAGTCCATGGTGAGTTGACTCGGTTCTGCGAGTTGGGTACGCACTCATTTCCACCTTGCTTGTCGTCTCGGCTCACAGCTTCCTCGTCCAAGCACCAACACCACAGAGAAGAAGAAATGAATGAGATTTACAAATCCCAAGCTTCAAGTTGGGTTTTTTTGTTTTCTATTTAGTATTTATGTTGAAATTATGTATACTATTACATTATTATAATAATTATTAAATAAAAAATATTTGATACCATACCCAATTTGGAGACGCACCTTAGGGCTAACAGAGGATGTCCACTAACTTGCCATAAATAGCTAAAATAGCCTACTCAATGATATCACAACCTTGTTCCTCTTTCTATTCCTCACTTTCTCACCCCTAATTTCTCTGCAAACGTAATTCTTCAATTGGATTGCATAAAGAACAACAACGTTTTGCTGGACCCCAAAACCAAACGGAAAACTGAAATCATTGATTTTTAAACGGTGGGAAGGCTAGCCACTTTTTCAATCTTTAGAGGAGGAGAAAAAGATGAGTCCACTGCAAGCGGCGGAGGAAAACGAGACGCTAGTTGAAGCGGCGTTGCGGGTCTTGAACACTGCCGACCCATTCGAAAAGGCTCGACTCGGGGATTCTATTGCGTCCAAGTGGCTCCAAGGGAGCATTACCCGTCCATACGACCCGTCTCTGGACCCTCCGGTACCAGATCGTCCAGCCAGACTCACAAATGTAAGTAGTTGTAGTTTAGTTCCTGGTGTTTCAACATCGTCGCATGTGTTTTGATGCAACATGGTTTTCCATTTTCAGGTTAAGTTGGTATCACCCAGTTTGATGCCGAAACTTGGGAAAGCTGGTAGCTTGCAGAGCAGGCAAGCCATCGTGCATAGTCTTGTACACACCGAGAGTTGGGCAATTGATCTGTCTTGGGTATTTCCCTTTTCCTTTCTTGTTGCTGAATTTTCTGGTTTCTCAGCTCATTAACCTAGAAAAAAGCCTATGAAAATTTCCCCATTCAGTAAAGCAATGAAATTTTGGTTCCAACCTTGAGAAATGCATCTTGTAAAATTTTGTTTATGGTCTCCATTCATCATTGACATTGTAGGATATAATTGCTCGATTTGGTAAGCAAGATTCAATGCCAAGAGAATTTTTCACGGATTTTGTGAAGGTAGCTCAAGATGAAGGCAGGCACTTCACTCTTCTTGCAGCTCGGCTTGAGGAACTAGGCTCCTCTTATGGAGCTTTACCTGCTCATGATGGCCTTTGGGACTCAGCCATGGCTACCTCCAAGGACCTCTCGGCACGTTTAGCTGTGGAGCATTGCGTCCATGAGGTAATGGTTCTTACATGTTTTTTTTTTTTTCCTAATATGGCTAGTGCAGGACATGTTTTGGGTTGATCACTCTAGCATGGTGTGGTATATTATGAAATAATTGGGCACTGATGCAGGCAAGGGGACTTGATGTGCTTCCCACAACAATCTCTCGATTTCGAAAAGGAGGGGATAATGAGACAGCCGACTTACTGGAGAGGGTAGTTTACCCAGAAGAGATTACTCACTGTGCTGCTGGAGTGAAGTGGTTTAAGTACCTTTGCCTGAGGTCTACAAATCCAGCCTTATATCGGGAAAGCCTGGCATCAGAAGAAAAGGAAGCAGGAGAAAGCGAATCTTCAATGGAGGAGAATGAAGAGGTGATTCAGAAGTTCCATGCTGTAGTAAGGACGCACTTTAGGGGACCATTGAAACCACCCTTTAACGAGAAGGCAAGAAAGGCTGCTGGATTTGGCCCTCAGTGGTATGAACCGCTTGCTGTTAAAGAGTAGAGTCTGTTACAGATTGTCGATCCTGAATTCAATTTTCAAGTGAAGAATGTTATGCTAGTTATATCTGCTGTATCTGAGCCTCCAAGTCAGTTAAACTTCTGAACTCCAACAAGACTAAGCCTCACTTTTACAGGCCATTAGATCATCGGTAGTTGTATGGTAAATGTCTCTGATCAAATCCTAAAGCAGAGCTTGGGATAGAATTTTGATTGATTGCTTTCCTTGTCAATTGCTTTTTCATTTACGAAGGCAGTTAACTTCAGTAGTGTTCTAGACCTGCCATTACATGCCGCATGGTGATGAAAAAAATCTAAAATTTACAAATTAATGTGGTGAAGAAACTTTGGAATTGGAACACATCAATGGACCAGTAAAGAAAAGGCAGCAAAATATTGGGACACTGGTAAGTGATAACGGATAATAGGTGCAAAATGGCATATGTAATTTATTCATAAAATTATTGGTATCTTTCCATCACAATGGACCACTTAAACAACATGCAAAATTTTACATCAGTTAACTGAATCAATTGGTTTCACTCTGAACAGATTTAGTGAATTGGCAAAACTTCAGTTCACTGTAAATTTGCTGTAGCAATGAATATATTGGGAAAAAAAAATTACAGAGGGCTTTGAAATATTCTGGACTCACTTTTAGAGAGTAGATCTGATGGAATTATTATAGCAAAGAATTTTTGGTAATTCTCCATTTTGTTACAGAATGAGTCTCCTGATATCATTGAAGTTGGAATGTAATGCTGAGAGAACGGCACCTGCAACATAACAATTAAACATAAGGCAAATAGACCAGTAAGCTTGTTCTCTATAACCCTTCAAGGCAGCAATGGTAAAAATTCTAAAATTCTTAGGTCTATAGACCATATAGACAAATCATGGAACAAGGAAAACGTGTTATCAAGGTTACCATCCAGTCATGATCCCACAAAAGTGGGCATGAGTGCGAGAGGCTAATATCAACCAACATCTTACCTGGTATGTATATACAAAAACAAGACCATGGCATACCTCCAACTTTGCCATCAAATACACGATGATCAGATGATAATGTTAAGTTCATTTTTGTGATAACAGCTGGCCTCTCAATTCCTGCATTAGTGATTAAACGTCTGGTGAAGCCCCACCAACTAAATGGCATCAAGTATTTGAACAAAAGGCATTGAATAAGAAGTAAAGACTTACCATCTGCTCCAACTACTGGTTCAACAACTTTGTTTCTTCTACCAACAGTGAGGATACCAGCCTACAAGATAGAATTTCAGCATACTAACAATGACAAGACAAATATATATACTAACAATGAATTTCAACAAAAGGTCGGACAATTCCTTTACTGTGCTGTGAACAATTCCTGACTTATGAGAAAAGGTGACTCTAAAGTGTTCAGAAAAAAATATTATTTTTGCTAGGCAAAAGGTTTTCAAAAGATCAGCAACTTTAAGGATAAACCCAACAGGTTCATCCCAGAGTTGCAGATGGATGAAGCTAATGCATCTTGTTCAAGGAAACATGGATGTTAGCAAGGTTTTCTTTGGGCTGAAACAAGATTCAAGTCAGAGAGAGGGGGAGGGGATACCTATGGAGGATTTATAATTGCACAAAAATGGTCCACCAGAAACATTCCAAGATTTGAAATGCTGCAGAAAGATTACAAACGGTTAGTTAATATTTTTTAACATTTGATAAAATTAAGGGGTGAGTACTGAGTACTGAACACAAATTTATATCAAGAAAACAAACACACACCTGAAAGTTCCTCCTTGAAATTCATGTGGCGCAAGCTTCCCAGTCCTTGCCCTTTCAGCTAGTTGCCTGAGCTGATGAGCAAGTTAAGGAAAGATAACCATGACTAAATTGCTCCAAGAATTTAAATGATTCATTACTGATTGTTTATTCAAAATAAACTGAATGTAAAGAAGACAGTAAATCCAGATTCCAAAGAAAGATGAATGCCCATTTGAACAAAGTGAGATCTCTTAAAAGCTATTTTCACAAAAGTCATAGCAATGCTTAGTCTCAAAAGAAGAGATGATCTTAGCTTAACCAAACAACAAAAACACAAAGCTCGAATATAACCAAAACGTATGTGATTAAATGGACAATAGGGAACAAAAAAAAAGGAATAGGCAACTCTAAGGAGATTGAAGAAATGGATTTCTGATCTGCATTCCTAATGATTGGAGTCATTAGACCCTGTAATACAAAAACAATAATATGAATCCATGTTTTGCCTAGGCCTTAAGAATGCTGATGATCAGTAGCATACCTTCTCATTAGCAACAGCAATTGATATGTCAACAGAGTCGCATAAAATAATTTCTTCTTTAGCCACATCCCAGTAAGCTGAAGTGAAACACAGTCAAAATTTTGATATTTAGAATTATGTCAAAAAAGCTGATATCTTTGTGCAGGAAATTATCCTGAGGAAAAGATGATATAATTATTTCCCACTTCAGATGTAAGCAAATTCAGCAAATTCTGAATAGTCTTCTTAGTTTCTCATCAAATTAAGAAAAAAAAAGGCCTTCTATGGTAAAAACGTATGGAGTATGGATATTTGTTAGGTGAAATAAGGAACTGCACCTTTTTTTAAACCCCTGTATCCTTTTAAAGACTTCTTTGGCGTAACCGTTTGTTTAGAATACAATGTGTAGAATAGCAAAACAGAGCTTATAGGCGGAGTGTTGTCAATAGCGGCCATAGCGGCATAGCGTAGCGGCAAACTATGGCCGCTATGACAAATTTTCATAGCGTAACATTTTTTCAATAGTGGCTGCTATTACCACTAATAGCGGCTGCTATACAAATAGCGGATAACAGTAGCACGCATAGCAGCTGTTACGTAACTTTTTTTATTGTTTTGGTTAAATTACCATGTTAACCCCACATCAAAACTTTAAGTTAAAAATTTTTAAGGTTAATTTTGTCTTTTAAACTTTTCTATTTATAAATTAAAAAAAAAAACCCCTAAAAGTTAAAACTAATCCCGCGCACACTGGTCTTCCAACTCTTCTCCTCCCAACTCTCTTCTCGACTCTCCTCTACACTTTGCGCACCATCTGGTCTCCTCTTAGTGCCCATCGGCCATAGCAAGAGTGGAAGACAACTCTCACAGAACTTACCCTTTCATACCTCCTGTAACTGGAGTTACTAGACAACGATTGAGCACTGATCTGTATACCATATTGTCTCCAATTTCAGGTAATCTTTCAAGTAAGCACTGATAATACTGGACAGCGA